ACATCATGCTTGCTAAGGTAGAGGGTCAGTGAAAAAGCAGAAGACCCTTGTCTTGGTTCTCTAGTGCTGCTATAACAGACATACCACAGATGAATAGCTTTAACAAATAGGAATGTATTTTCTTACAGTTTAGGAGGCTGGAAGTCCAAATTCAGAGTGCTGGCTCTAGGGACTGGGTGAAGGCTCCTGCACCATGAGCTGCAACTCTGCCTCTCTGTTCCAAGCCCATTGGAGCAGGCTAGAGGCTTCTTCTGACGCAGGCAGCTGGAGGCTGCTGAGGCTGACAATCCCAAGGTTGGTAGGTAAAATGGCACAGTTCCAAGATAAGCAGCAGTGCTGTAGGCCACTAGTTCAAGCCTAGGAACACCCATCAAGATTGGCAGGCAACGCAGCAGGCCAGTGAAATGAAGACCTGGCCAAATGCAGAATCCAGATGTACCTCAAGTCTTCCCCGTACATACTGGAAGCAGGCCATACCTGGAAGGCAACTAATTAGCTGCTCATAGCAGATTCCACCCTGGAGATGATTTCAGTCTCATCATGGAGAGTAACTGCATCCAGCTGCTGAGCACTCAGCATCATGGCCCAGCCAAGTGAACGCAGCCTTAACCACCCCAGCCCTGGAGGAGGTGGATGGACACAGTGGCAGCAGTAGTCTTTAGGCATAAGACCAATTGTGAGGATGACACAGGACTGGGCAGTGTTCCATTCTGTTGTCATGGATTGCTGTGAGTCAGAACCAATTTGATGGCACCTAGTAACAATGAGTTTTTATAAGATATAATATAATATAATGCAGCTATATTCACCTTGAAGACAAAATGTCTGCTTTCTTTTGGATTTAGAAAAAAAAAAACAAAACCTTAATTTCATTGGTCTCATGTTCCTATCTTACGTCTATTCTTTTAATGGGAAAGCTTTTTGGTACGTATAGAGGACCCCTAGAGGAATATATAGGGACAGTACTTACTGACCTATCCTATACTGCTCCAACTAGACTACGTTATTTAGTAGTCATGATAATGCTTTAATCCTGAGATCAGCAAACTAAGGGCTGTGGGCCAAATCTGGCCCTCCTATTGTTTTTATACAACCCAAAGCCAGGGATGTTTTTGTAGCTGAGCACTGTATCTATCTGATAATAAGCTATATACTAACTTTGAACCCAATTAAGTCAAATATTATCCCCTCCTCTGGTAGAGTAGTGCCTAAGACATTTGACTGCTAATCAGAAGGCTGGCAGTTCAAACCCACCAGTCACTCCTTGGAAGGAAGGTTGGGCAGTCTACTTCTGGGTAGGGTTTCCCACCTCGGAAACCCAAGGAGGGGTCGCTATGAGTCAGGTCCAGCTGGAGGACACATAATAACAACAACCACCTCCAAAGCAGAATTCTAGTCTTCTCATTAACAGACCTATTACAAAAAAATATGCTCGATTAACATATATTGTGTTTTGAATGTCATCAATAAAAATGTGGGAATTTGTTTTCTCTCATTATATACATACTTAGATAGTATTCTTGATTTTGCTTCCTCACCTGCAAAGCCTGAGACATTTACTGTCAGGCCTTTTACAGAAAAACCATGCCAATCTCTAAAAGAAACCAGCACTTAATCTCAATCTAATAGTCCATGTTTCAGTTTAATACAATTTTGAAATTTGAGCAACTAGTGTATACTTTGCTATAAATATCTGCTTAGTTCCTGAGTTCAGAATCATGAATAGTGAGCTTTTTTTTTTTTTTTTTAAATATTGAAATCAGTTTGCTTCATAAATTTGAGAGCAGGAGTTTGCATAGTGAGAGATACCTGCACTTGTGTGTCATAGTTATATAATCTGACATGGTGAATATATTTCCCATGATATTTAGTATTGACAACTAAATCAGAGGTAGAACTTCTGTCTAGTTCTCCTGTTTTATGTTGAGAAAATGTTTATGGGAAGATGATATCTTTCCATATTTTCCAATTGAGGTCCAAATCATGCAGGTGATGTCATTGCTTTATTACTAGTTTGCCTGTCTGTGTAATCTGTTTTATTTTTAATAATGTTTGAAAAGCCATCCAGTTAGTTTGATAAACCAGCTGTTAGATCATTTTGCATTTTGTGGGTAGACAACTTGTTATCCTCTATAATGTCACTTAAAGGATTAGACTCTCTCTGGTCCTCTTGATAGCTAATATCTCCAGTTACCCTTTTCTGTTCATTCATGTATGCTGATGGGTCCTCTAGGTCAGAGAGCAGAATCACTTCTCTAACAACAATTGTCTAAGTGAGCAGTTAGGTGGAAGTCTGTCCTTCTGTCTTGATAGCAGCTGTTCACACCACATCCTATCAGAAGAATTCCTAAAATAAAAGAAGAAATCTTTTCAGTGACAGACCAGGCAGTGGTCTTGATTATAAGTGTTTTGGCAAAAGGTTTTAGATACATGGTTCAGTCCCACTGTGAATGGAACACAAATTACTTAGTAAGCTTAAAGACATTTTCCTTTATGTATTTGATTTTGGTGTGTAGAAATGCATTTGATGATAGATTAATTCATTCTAATACTGTATTTCAGTTCTCTTACTTGTGTTTACAGTTTTATTTGTCCTACCCCTTCCCCTTACCTTGTTTTTCTTTTCTTTTTTAAGATTGATTGACATTTATTATAGTCTAAATATGTAATAGGGAGCTCTGGTAGCATAGTGCCTAAGGCACTTGACTGCTAACCAGAAGGCTGGCGGTTCAATCCCACCAGCCACTCCTCGGAAGGAGGGTTGGGCAATCTACTTCTGTAGTGATACCACCTTGGAAACCCAAGGAGGGGTCACTATGAGTTGGTTCGACTCGATGGTACATAATAATGTAACAACAACATATATGTAATAAAGCATTTCACATTCCAACATCTTCACATGTACAGTTCTTTGACGTTACTTATGTTAACCACATTCTTCAGCCGTCACCCTTAATCTGTTTTCCCACATGGAGAGCAAGAATTCTACCACTTGCACCACTGCAGCCCAGTCGGCAAACTGTTGTTAGTTGTTATGAAGTCAATTCTGACTAGTAGCAAATTGTCTAAAAGTCGATTCCAGCTTATAGGAACCCCATAGGACAGCAGAGAACTGCCACACAGGGTTTCCAAGGCTGAAATATTTACAGAAACAGACTGTCTCTCACAGAGTGGCTGGTGGGTTCAAACAGCCAACCTTTGGATAGTGTCTGAGCACTTTAACCACTGCATTACCAAGACTCCTCTCTGACTACGCTGTTGTTGTTGTTGTTATGTGCCACTGAGTCAGCCCTGACTCATAGCGACCCCTCCTTGGGTTTTTTCCGAGGCAATATCACTCTGGAAGCTGTGGAATGACATTTTAGCTGTTAATACTAGAATTCCTGGAAGTTAAATTTTTGAGCTTTCGGAAGATGCTCTGATAAAACATTAACATCTCATTTGGACATGTCACAGTAGTTAAAATGGACAGGTGGGTGGTTGGATTTCGGATTATCCATGTATTTATAATGAGATGTTTGTCATTATAGTCTTACAATGAAAACCGAACTCACTGCCATTGAGTCAATTCTGACACCTAGGGGCCCCCTTTGGGTTTCCGATGCAGTAAATGTTTATGGGAGTAGATTGCCCAGTCTTCCATCCACAGAGTGACTGGTGAGTTTGAACCGCCAGCCTTCTGGTGAGTAGTCAAATGCCTCAGGCACCACTCCACCAGAGCTCCTTGTTTTATAATGAAGTGACATCAATTTCCTACATGTTTTTCCTCCTATTATACTCTGAGCATGAGTATTATTTCTTATTCGCCTCTTTGTTCCTAGTGCTTAGCATGGTGCCGAAAGATATTTGTTGAATGAATGATTGAATTAGTAACTTTGTCTACATTATACAGTGTACGTTTTATTTTTACTATTCTATGATGATTCAAAACCAAATTAATTTTAGGGAAATAAACCTAACTCATATCTTGGCTCATAGTTCCATAGGCCAATAGAGTGAAACTGCCTCAGTTGTATTTTTTTGAATTGGCACTCTCTGCAGCAAGAACTCAAAAGCTATTCTAAATCTTGTCATTGTCTGTGTTCTGATTAGTTTGTTAGTCTGCGTTCTCTAGGGGAGCAAAACCAGTAAAGTGTGTATAGATATATAGAGACAGAAATTTACTTCAAGGAAAGGGCTCATGCAGTTGTGGGGGCTAACAAATCCCAAATTCATGGGTCAGGCAATAGGCTGAATACCTCTGCTGGGCTCCTATGGTTACAGTGGTTGATGGTCCCAAAGTTTGCAGGACATGCGGCAAGCTGTAGGCCTCTGTTGATTCACAGGGTTGTGGCTGTTGGCTAATTCAAACTCTTCAGGTCAGCCAGCAGGCCAGAGACTTCTGCAGGCTTCTAGTCTAAGAACTGGAGGTCAGGGAACTGGAGGTCAGGTGACAGGAAGAATATAGAGTCAAGGAAAAGAACAAGCTTTGCCAGAACATCCATTTATATACTAAAGACAGGCCACACTCCCAAGGAAACTCTCCTCAGTTGCTTGGCTGCTTCCATCACAAAATGGAAGGTGACTGCAAAGTGTCTGTGCTACCACTGAGCATTATAGCCTAGCTAAGTTGACACTTAACATTAACCATCAGAATTAGCATTCAGTGTGAAATAATTGTAGAATAAAATATCTTATTTGTAACTTGACCTTAAGTAAATTTGCCAATGAAACAACCATTTGTATTCCTGTTTGGTGATATGTGATACTCTTCCAAAACCAAAAACCAAACTCATTGCCATCAAGTCACATCCCACTCACAGTGACCCCTCCTTGGGTTTCCGAGGCAGTGTCACTACGGAAGTAGATTGTCCAACCTTCCTTTCGAGGAATGGCTAGTAAGTTTGAACTGCCAGGCTTCTGGTTAGCAGTCAGATGCCTTAAGTACTATGCCACCAGAGCTCCATGATACTCTTAGATGAATGTAAATAGTCATCATTTTGTGTCTATTTCATTTCTAGGTACAAGACATCTGCTTCAGTCATGACTGTCGCTGGGTTGTCGTCAGCACACTCCGGGGGACTTCCCATGTTTTTCCCATCAACCCTTATGGTGGCCAGCCTTGTGTTCGTACACATATGTCACCACGAGTAGTGAATCGCATGAGCCGTTTCCAGAAAAGTGCTGGGCTGGAAGAGATTGAACAAGAACTGACGTCTAAGCAAGGGGGTCGCTGTAGTCCTGTTCCAGGCCTGTCGAGCAGCCCGTCTGGCTCACCTTTGCATGGTAAACTTAATTCTCTCTCTCTCATGTCCCCTACCACCCTCTTTCCTTCGGACCTTAATTTATAGGTTTGGGATAAAAATAAACATTAATTTTAATCTGCTCATACATAGATAATATCTTGGGCTCATTTTCAGACATTCTTAATTTATTCAATCATTTAATAAATTAAGCTGATATAGTAACGGTGTTCTGTACAATGCTATTTGAATTCCCTAACTTTTTCATTATATAAGGGGTACCTGCTGTCATATTTATGGAATATAATATTTTGAGACTGTTTTCATAACTGAACCTTGAATCTATTGAACTCTTCTACAGCATACTGTGTCTTTAGCCAGGGCCAGTACCAAAGCTTAAGAAATAGTCATTGTTAGAGAGGATTACTCAAGACTTATGTATATTTTAGATGGATCGGCAATCTTTTATTTTAAAATATCTTTGTTTTGGTGGTACAGACCATTAAGCATTCAACTACTGGCCAAAAGATTAACTGTTCAAATCCACCCAAAGGCACCTTGGAAGACAGGCCTGGTGATCATCTTCCAAAAGGTCGCAGCCTTGAAAACTGTGGAGCAGTTCTCTGTACTCATGGGGTTACCATGTGGTGGAGTTGACTTGATGACAAGTAACAATGACAATAACAAGATTTCTAGTAATAAATTGCAGGAAAAAAAGTGTTTCTATCTCAGTGTATCTCAGAGTGAATAGTTACGTAACCATCATACCAATTAAGAAGTAAAACATTACCAGAACCTCCCTTCTATGCGTCTTTTCCATTTAAGTAGATCATGAATCTGACTTTTATGTTAATCACTTCTTTATTTTTTAAAATAGTTCTAATCCAAAGGAAGTATCCTTAAACACTGTTGTTTCATTTTCATACACATGGAATCATAACCTGTGTATTATTTTATATTTAGGTTTTTTCTTTTAACTTATGTTTGAGATTCATTCATGTTGGATACATATAAAGCATATTGTTGTTGTTGTTATGTGCTGTCGAGTCGGCCCTGACTCATAGCGACCCCTCCTTGGGTTTCTGAGGTGGTATCACTATGGAACTAGATTGCCCAGTCTTCCTTCTGAGGAGTGGCCACTGGGTTTGAACCACCAGCCTTCTGGTTAGCAGTCAAGTGCCTTAGGCACTATGCCACCAGAGCTCCCTAATGCATATAGCTATAGTTAATTTATTTTCATTACTGTTACATATTCCACTATAGATTTTAGTGATTTCCAGTTTGGGATTATTCTTTATAATGGTTCAGTGAACAGTTTTGACCTTGTTACTCGGTGTACTCATTTCTAAGAAATGCTGAGTCATAATGTATGTGAATCTTAACATTTGTAGATACCACTAAAGTGGCAGTACCATTTCATTCCCACCAGAAAGACTGAAACAGTTATTTAACATTAGATGACACTTGTGTAGAGTATTGCAGATTCTCCTTGACTGATGACTATCCTGTTTTCAAGAATAGGGAATTATATAGCTAGATATTGTGGCCACCACAGGAAAGAATCCTTGTTTGTTTTAGCTTCTGCTTGAAAACATGTTCTTTAGCCATCTGTAATGAATTCTAGATATATATTTTCTGTAGGAAATTTTAAGGTAGACTGATAATATGTATGTAGGTAAATGAAATACCTGGAAGAAATACTTTAACTCAAAAAATTGTATTTCTGTTTTCTTCTGAAATCATGTTTATTCTTTGGCTCTATTATTCTTAGAAGAAGAAGTTATATATATTTAACTTAACTAGTGTCCCTGAGGGAGCTCTGGTAGCATAGTGGCTAAAAGCACTTGACTGCTAACCAGAAGGCTGGCTGTTCAAACCCACCAACCACTCCTCGGAAGGAAGGTTGGGCAATCCTACTTCCGTAGTGATACTGCCTCGGAAACCCAAGGAGGGGTCGCTATGAGTTGGGGCCGACTCGACGGCACATAACAACAACGACAGTGTCCCTGAGCTTCAATTTTGAAAACGTTCTAAAATCATTCCTAGATGAAAATGTTGTTGTTGTTGTTGTTGTTAAGTGCCGTCGAGTCATTTCCAACTCATGGCGACCCCATGCACAGCAGAACGAAACACTGCCCGATCCTGCGCCAGCCCCACAATCCCTGCTATACTTGAGCCCATCATCACAGCCACCGTATCAATCCATCTCGTTGAAGGCCTCCCCCTCTTTCACCGACCCTCCACCCTACCAAGCATGACATCCTTCTCCAGGGAATGGTCCCTTCTTATAACATGACCAAAATAGGTGAGATGAAGTCTGGCCATTCTTGCTTCCAACGAGCATTCTGGCTGCACTTCCTCCAGGACAGATCTGTTAGTTCTTTTAGCAGTTCACGGTACTTTCAGCATTCTTCGCCAGCACCACAGCTCAAAAGCATCAACTCTTCTTCAGTCTTCCTTATTCATTGTCCAGCTCTCACATGCATACGAGGCGATTGGAAATATCATGGCTTGTGTCAGGCGCACCTTAGTCCTCAAGGAGATATCCTTGCTCCTCAGCACTTGAAACAGTTCCTTCGCAGTTGACTTTCCCAATGCTACACGTCATGATGAAAATAGTCATTTTTAATTTTTTTTAAAAAAATTGTTTATATTTTGAAATATGAGTTGTTTATATTTTCACCATTTGTGAGAATTTTTACCTCAGAAATAACTTTGAAAGAACTAATGATTAACATTTTTTTGGTGTAAATTATTTTGTTGTATATTTAGGTATATACTTTGAGGACTTTACTCCTGTGTTGAATATTTTACCAAAAACTGCATATAGGAAGACTCAAGTGTGCATGTGGAACAGCTAGGTCAACCATAAATGCATTCATCGAAAAATTAAAGAGAATACATATTCTTTACCTTTTACACATCTTCATAAAATATTCTTTTCCTTCCCCCTGAAGATCAAATATTTTATTTCTTTTGTTTGTCATTTTTTTTTTCCAACTTTTAATTGTGATTTGGGTGCATCTGTACAAAGCAGATTCATTTTACATTCAGTAGGTCATACACATTTTGTTTTGTGACACTGATTACAATACTCACAATATAACCGTTCTTCTCCCACCTTCTTCCTGGGGTTACCCTTTCTTCGTGTCCTTTTTCCCAAGCGTTCCTGCCTGCCTAGCGTTCTCTTCTGGAAATACTGCCCTCTGATCTGCCCTGGGTAACTCTTCTGAGTGCATCTCCTGGTTTAGTTGTTGAGCTCGTAGCCTGTGTTTTGTTTTGCTGAGAGTTAAGCCGTGGGAGTGAGTCCAATTCCAGGCCCAAAAGGTGAGTCGGGGCCATAGTTTCGGGAGTTTCACCAGTCTCTTTCCAACCAGTAATCCTGGTCTTTTTATGTTTTTGAATTTTGTTCTACGTTTCCGCCTTCATATTTTGCAGCGGTTTTAGGTTTATAGAAATAAATACTGCACAGAAAGTGCAGGGAGTTTCATTACATCCCTCTCCCCTACACATTGTTTCTTCTGTTAACGTCTTGCATTCCTATGGTATATTTGTTACAATTAATGTATAATATTGATATATGGATCAAGTAATTTTGCAGAAAGCTAAAAAAAAAGGAGATTCAAGCCATTTTGACAGTACTGCATTACTTGGTTAAAAGATTTCCTTTAACACATGTTAAAATTTTGTTATCTCAAGGTTTGATCTCTTTACTCTGTGGTTTTTCTCATTTTTGAGGTACAGATATAGAGTGATGGTCATTTTTCTTCATGTTCTTGTACCTTTCATGTCAAAACAAAATGGGAATTGTTGTTGGTTAGTTCTAAAAATGATGTATTTACGGTCTGTGTGGGTAAACAGTCTAATGCTGGTCAAAACAATGTAAACCTTTGAACAGGGAGGGATTCATCTTGAAAATGAATCATGCTTTGGCGGTATTACCATTGTTTGTTTGTGCTCTTTTTAGCAAAGTAAAGGAAACTGTTAAATAACAGTTGATATAGGGGTATTTCCTTTTTATTCTGTGGAGCCAATCCAGTTTAGGTTAGGATTATATTATCTGTCTGCCATATTTTTTACTTAGTGAAGGATGTTTATTTATTTTAAATACATACTTTCTAAATATCTCTTTCATTTCCTATCTTGTTGCCTAGATCTTAGTCTAGATGAGAAATTCTTAACTTTGGGGGGTTTGTGAACATGGATAGGAAAAGAAAATATTTACATTCATCTTCCTCTAACAAATTAAGCATTTCTTTTCATTATGAATGTAGACAACATACCACAGTACCTGTAACTTTTTTGCGAATAAAAACTGCACATGATTTTATACATTATATATGAAATATGTGTATCTTGAAATGTATTTAAAAATATCTTGAAATAGTGCTTATGCACTTCACTTTTTTAAAATTTTATTTTATATAAAATTTATTTTAATATTAAATTATTATAAATATCAATAGTACTTTAATAACTGTTTCGATGTTATTGGTTGCCTTTGTGACAAGTATTATTCTTAGAAAGTTCATAGGCAGCCCTTATACTTCCCTCATACTTTCCAAGAAGTCCATGACACAGCAGTGATTAAGAGCTCTTGAGCATAATTTCTCGCCTTGTATGTTACTGAGCAATCTACTTCTGTAGAGATACTGCTTCTGAAACCCAAGGAGGGGTCACTATAGTTGGAACCAACTTGGCGGCAGTGAGTTTGGTTTGGAGTTTGGTATGTTTCAGTAGAATCCAACATTTTTTCCACAGTTCCTTATTAATACTCTTCAAGCAGTATATTTTTACTATCACAAGAGTTTTCTTGTTAAATAGAAATATGATCCACCACTTTTCTGCTAAAAACCTTTCAGTGTCTCACCTTACTGTTCAAATACTATAGAAAGTCTTTCTGACTCATATTGTTTTAGCACCTTGTTCCACCACACTTGTCTTTCTTTGCCTTTCCCTCAGTATTCTATACAAATTCATTTCTTGGAACCTTTCCTATTTCTACCCTTTTCTCTCCTTGAAATAATCTTTACCTCTTTGATT